AAGTTGTAATATAAATGGTGTCATCTGTTAATCTGCCTGCCAGCTCCTCGAAGTTTGTGTTTATATATATAAAAAATAAATTTTGTTTTAGTGGTAAATAAATACAGTATGTTTCGGTCCTTCAGATTTTTATTTTATAAACTATGATATAATAACTTTACTAAAATACTCAATCTTTTGTATACATATTGGACAATTAATTATCTAATGATAAAATACACATAGAACATACTGCAACATGTGTACAAGGCAATATTATAATATTTCTGTCTTCTATCATACATACTATACATAATAGAGCATTATATTGAGGGGCAGAGGAAAGAACTGGGGGAGGGGTATCTGGATTACTATATGATGGACGTGGAGGATGAGGTTGTGCTATTTCAGGAGATGATTGATTTGGTTGTAGTGGTTTAGGTGGTAATAATGTAAATCTATTCATTTCAGGATAAGATGGTGGTGAATGGGCTTGTAAAGGAGGAACTGATATGTCTCTAGCCTCAGTCTCCCGAGCTCTAGCCTCAGTCTCCATAAGCTCCAAAACTGAATGAGTACAATCATCGAGAATATAAAAGGGAATACCACTCTTTTCAAGTCTTTTATAAAGAGTGCGTCTTACATTATCGTAAGGAAATCCCATGTTTATAACCACCTTTATTATACTACTCTGGTTCATTAAATAGGTCATATCATCATCCGATAGATTTACTTGATAAATCTTCTGGGGCTCAACTGCTGAATTACTTTGTTGGTAAGGAGGAGTTTGATCTTGAACCTTAGAAAAGAAGGAAAATAATTAATTGTTGGTTTTTTATTAATAATATTACTATTAATAATAAATAATATTCCTTTAAATATATTTTTTTTACCTTTTTAATAAAATCAGCGTTCTTTTTCAGTAATAAAAATTCACAACTTGAGGACCAACGTGCATGTACATTCCATGGTTCTTCAATTTCCTCCCAATTGTGAAGACCTATACCACAAGAAAAGCATCGTACCATATCCGATAAGCCAAAGTAATAAAAAACTGCTTCAGCTAAATCATGGATTGTTAGTCGTCGTCGTTGTATTTCTAGAGGCCACGCCTTTAGCCTCCGCTCATTTTTAAAACTTTCCAGTCTTGCTTCAAACGTAATATATCTACGATAATATGGTGTCTCTCTCTTCTTCGTTTCTGGAATTGTAATTATCTGGTCTAAAATGCAACTCTGACCCAGGCTGATGTTTGCCGTTGGTTGATTTCTAACGAAGGGACAATGGGGAAAAAGTCTACGATGTTCTCCGAGGGGCGTATCATCCTCTTCCCAATCGCCTATGATACCCTGGCAAAAATAACAGGCAAAGAAATCTTTATTTTTGAGATAATAAAAACCTGCAGCGGCTAAATCTTCGGAAGATATCCACGAAGACGGCAGGGGCCAGTCTACGAACGTATCCAGTCGTTCCTTTTCAAATCTGAATACACGGGTGTCATAGAATGTCTTGGACCGATTTAAAGTGCGTAAAAATATGCACTGGGGCCGTTTCTCCATGTGAAAAGCTTCACTGCTGTCGATAACGGCGGCGGCGGCTGCATCGATTTCCAACTTGCACTTAAAGCATTTTATTTTATTCTCCTCCTGAGAAAAATAAAACCCGGCTCTCGAAAGGGTCTCCACATCCACTACATTTATTAAAGGAGAATTGACAAAAGTATTCCGGCGATCTTTTTTTTCATAAAGACTCTGCCTTGATTGTTCCATTATTATTCACAGCCTTTCTTGTAAGGTTTTATACACCTAAACTAGATCTACTAAGGAATGTAATATAAATGGTGTCATCTGGTAATCTGCCTGCCAGCTCCTTGAAGTTTGTGTTTTTATAGATTTAAAATAATGTTGTTTTATATGTAAAAAAATACAGTATGTTTCGGTCCTTCAGATTTTTATTTTAAAAAACTATGATATAATAACTTTACTAAAATACTCATTCTTTTGTATACATTATCTAATGATAAATGTACAAGGCATGATTATAATATTTCTGTCTTCTATCATACATACTCTACATAATAGAGCATTATATTGAGGAGCAGAGGAAAGAACTGGGGGAGGGGTATCTGGATTACTATATGATTGTGTAAGATTTTCAGAGTAATATGGTGAATTGGGAGGAGATGATGGATTTAGTTTAGGTGGTAGTGTAAGTCGGAATCTCACTTCTGCTATCTCTGTCTCCATAAGCATCAAAACTGCCTTAATACTCTTTCAGATTATTAAAGGGGACACTCTCTTTTCTAGTCTTTTATAAAGTGTGCGCCTTACATTATTGAAGGAAAATCCCCTGGCGACAACTCATTTTATTATACTACTCTGTTTCATTATAGGTAATATCATCATCAGATATATTTAATTGAAAAGTATAAATCTGAGGCTTAATTGCAGAATTACTTTGTTGGTAAGAAGGAGTTTGGTCTTGAACTTTAAAAAAGGGGAAAAAATAAATTAAGATTATAAAATTTACAAAATTCTTATTATATTTTTTATTAATCAATATTTTACTGTATAAGTTATATTCCTGAAACTGGAAATCTTACAATAAAAAACTAGCCACCTCACTCTACCTCTTTAATAAAATCCGACCCCTTTTTCCGTCTGACAAATTCACATGATGGGGACCAACGTACATGAACATTCCATGACTCGTCATTTTCTTCCCCCCAATTGTGAAGACGAGAATTAAGTCTGCGATGTTCTTCAGGGGTCTATGATACCCCGGCAGAAAAAACAAACACAAAATTCTTCCATTTTAAGGTAATAGAAGCCGGCAGCGGCTAAATCTTCGGGAGCGGGAGATTCGAAGACGACCAGTCTACGAACGTATCCAGTCGTTCCTTTTCAAATCTGAATTTATCAATGTATAATGTCCTGGACCGATTTAAAGTGCGTAAAAATATGCACTGGGGCCGTTTCTCCTTGTGAAAAGCTTCACTGCTGTCGACGGCGGCGCCGCCGCCGCTAGTGGTGGTGGTGGTGGTAATAGTGGTGGTAGTGGTAGTGGTATCGAATTCCAAATTGCGCTGAAAACATTTTACTTTATTCTCCCACGAAGAAAAATAAAACCCGGCTCTCGAAAGGGTCTCCACATCCACCTCATTTATTAAAGGGGAATTGACAAAAGTATTCTGGCGAGTTTGTTTTTCATAAAGACTCTACCTCGATTGTTCCATTATTATTTCACAGCCTTTCAAAAAAAAACATATACAATAACTGGAACTAGTAGGTTTTTATACCCCCAACTACCTACTAAACTAAACTAAAAACTGTAACATAATTTATACTATCCAGAGAGTTGTCAAGTTTTGTATACAAATAGTGTCATCTAACAACTTTTTGTACAGCCACAAGTGCCTGCTAGCTCTGCGGGTGTTTAATCTGACAACAATACATCATGGATATACACAATACTACTATACAAGAGGAGGAGAAAGAAAAAGGAGAAAAAAAAAGTTACTTTGTTATCTGAACCACAAGTACAATATGTAATTTTAGACCCAATTTCTAGAGTAGCTAGAATGGGGACTGAATGGATAGACAGAATGTATTTTAAAAAACGGTGTGATGATACGTCGATAAAATTATCTGCTATTTTAACAGAGAGTCATCGAAAGAATGTATATGATAATAGATTTAGGTGTTATCGCCCAGTTTGAACCCCGCGTCTCACCTATAGTGAGGTATGCAGGTATGCAAGTGTAGCTAATTTCTTCCTTCAATGGTAAAAATGAACCTACAAAGCTTACGAAGTTACACTATCATTCTGAACCACATAATTGTCACTCTTCATTAATTATGTATTTGAACTGTAGTTTTTTTATACACCCCAAATTATAACAAAAACTGAAAAACTTTATAAAATTAAACAAACAAATAAAAGTTACTTTGGATATCGTTTTTGTACGAGAAAATCTAAAGGATCTATAGTATTTTTTAGCACACAACATGTGTTTGAAAAACATTTTAATTTATTAGTATCTATATAGAGTCTAGCAGAGGGTGTTTTTGAATGTCCTCGTTTTTCGTGATATGGACAGTAAATGTTACTTTTCCATTCATTACCAGCTGCCTCATTCTCCCAATAAAGTTCTTCTTTTAAAATCTTTTGACATTCTAGAGTAGCCATTTTCAATTTTTTTATATATTTATATACTGATGGGTATTTTTCTGAATGTGATTTTTTAAAACCTCTTTTTAAACACTTATATGACGACGACGAAGAGGAACTTGATCTTTTGGTTGGTAGTGGTCGACGACATGTATTCTTGCTAACCATAATTTCATATTCATATTCAGTTTCACAATTTTTTTTTTTTTCATTTGCAACTTGTATTTCTTCTGGGGATATATATCCACCGGTTTTACATTCTGTGAATATAAATTGAATTTCCTTATTCATTATGGAGTTAAATCAACAAAAAATATTAAATGAATGGAAAGATTATCATCAATTTATAGTAACATCTCAGTTTTTATATATACAAGATAAGAGATATGCCAATTATTTTGAATCAGTCTTAAGGACGTGGCCTTCTTTTGTAAAAAATTTAAAAGTTATAATTGTTCATCAACTAACCTTAGGTAATAAACAATGGTATTTATCCAAAGATAAAACTATATTAAATATATTTGACTCACCCTTCGAAATAAAATTCTCATCATCGATAAATGGAATAACAGTATCTGGTAGTTCTGCTTTCGGTATTAAAAAAATACTTAATTCATTGATTGCAGAAATAAAAAAGGAAACTAAAAACATATATATTCAATGGGGTTTAAATAATAACAATGATAGCAATAGTGATGATGATATGAACGATAACAACTAATATTTTTGAATTGGGTGGTAGGATAAGGATAAATATATAAATATAGGGATATAAAATATAAAATCTATTATTGTCTATAGGCTCACTAGATGAAGATCTACTTAAATAACAGAGCTATAGCTATTCAGGAATGACCACCAAGGAGAAGAATTTTAATATACCCTTTACTGGAAGTGATGTATTTGTGACTTTGAAGATAGTGTATAGCCAACTTGATGATGCACACTCACATTCAAGTTTTGCCGAATCTACTAACAATAATAAAGTTTATCTCCGCCGCAGGAATAAGGATAAGGATGTTGAAAATGTGAAGGAGCAGCAGCAAAGTAAGAAGAGAAAAGAAAAAACATTCAACAAGGAGACAAGAACTAAAAAACTGTTGTTGAGGATATAAATATTAATAAACACAAAGTATTTTTTCTGTCAGAAAATGGATCCTTAGTTATGAACGAAGGACGAAAAAGTTACCAAAATTATTGTTATATTACTGAAATAACAATATATAATGCTTATAAGGAAAGAATACACCACTTAACCTCGAAAGTAGCCTTGACAACCAAAGAAATTTTGATTGCTATAATTACAGCAATTAAAGTTATTGATGATAATATAATATACAGTAATATTAACAGTACTCCAACTTATCTAGTAACTGATTCACAATTAAATATAGATATTCTCCACCGTATAATAACTAATGGCTTAACTATCCAATCATGGCCGCGTAATAAAAACAATAACCGGCATTATCCACACAACCATCACAGTGATAGTTGTTGTTCAATTATTAATGAAAATAAAGAAGTGTTGCCAAATGTAAATTTTGTAGGAGTAGGAGAAGCAACTGGAAAGATACAGCAACGGGAAAAAATCATTCTGTGGGCGTTTACAAATACACTTTCTCATTTGTATGCCTTAGATCTGTTCAGCTCATCTATAGCTAAAAATGATAATATCTCTCGACGACAAAATGTGTGGTGTACACTTAAAGATGTTTCATGTCTCAATATAGGCAGAGTAAAAAAGCACGCTTACCTTATCACCAATACGTTTATTCAACCTGTAATCAATATATATTTGGATCCTTCAACACTATGCAATTTTGGATCTACTTTAACAACTTCATTTAATACAATTACGAATATGTATGTGTAATATTTGATGAGATTAATAAAAAAAAAAAAACTTTTTTATTAACCCATCCCAAAAAATAAACAAGCACGCACCGTTTTTAGAATTAAGGCCACTCAATTCTTTCAAAAAAATCTTCCTGTTCGAGTGTATTACCTTGTGTAATATCTCTATTTGAAGTGGATACTATTTTAGCTTTAATTATAACTTTAGTACATCCTCTAATTTTATCCTCTGGATTAAGACACGGGTAACTACCAAGTGATTTTTCTGTTTCAGTATTATTACTACATTTAACCCAAATTGTAAGTGTATTGTTGTCTCTATCTAACTTTGGATCGGGACATGCCGTACATGGATTACTTTTATTCCCGTTTATATTGGTATAAAATTGACCACATTCACAAGTTTTTGTTTCACGATTATAACCTAAAGCATCTGTAACGTGAGGAGGTATATGAGTTAAACACGGATCTTAGAAACACATTGATCTCGAAATTTCAGGGTTGGCCACATAGCCTTGTGCGCATTCACATTCAAACTCATGTTGTAACTCATAAAAATCATTAGGAGTCATTGAGGCAATATCGACTACACTTTCATTTTTTCCATCAATTTTTCGTATCAGTTTTCCATCAGGTTCGCAAACAATAAATGTGTTTCTATCCGCGTCATAGAAACCAGGTAATTTAGATTTACATTTCCATCTATCCTCTTCTTGGGAATACTGTAAATATCCCCACACGGAATTACATAAAGTTTTTGTTTCAAGGGGAGGTTCCTTCCATAAGCAATAGGTACACCCTCCAA